ATACCAAATCTATAGCGGAACCACTTGTATACGTTGTGAATACGTTACCGGTATACACGGCAAATGCAAAGCTAACTTCCCCCTCCCCTCAGAAAAAAAAAATCATGAAAGCAAAAAGTACATAAAAGTAATTGAAAACATTATTCACACGCCGCGTACACTTTACTGGATTTTTATTGTTTTTACACTAAAAACCTGAACACCGCGAAAATCATTGAATGTTACAGATTTGGTTTAGTTTAAAATACCTATTACCTAGGCTGGTATACTTGAATAATGTTGAAACTATAAATTATTATCAGCTATTTACCTGTGTTTACTGTTCATTTCAATGAAATGGAAAGTTATTGTTAATGATCTTTAATTATTATCAGTAATGTAGTTGTAGAGAAGATTTAGAACTTTTTGATCCACTTCTACTACCTACCATACCAAACCAAAACAGAATTTTCATCATAATGACGAAACGCCAGGATATTAAAATAATTGATAAAAAAAGTTTATTTTATTGTTATTTTCCTATTATAAGTGGAGAATAAAATATATCTATAATTTTTGGTATCTAATTAATATATTATTAACCATGATGTTATTAAAGATATATTTGATATGATGATATACTTTCAAAAATTAGCATACGTATATATAAAAATAAAAAAATAAATTAAACCCACATCAAACCTAATAATAATAGAAACTGATTTCACAGAATTTCTAGAAAAAATTTAATTAAAAGTCATAGATTTCGATTTGTTGTAACTACCTTTTGCAAGGAGAATTATAACAGAACAGATGATAAAAAATATCAGTCTATTATCTAATCACTAAACAAATATAACACACGATATTAAGGCAAATAGTGTGAATACAATTGTAAAGTCTAATATAATATACATTTATTTCGTTTATTACCAATTAAAATAATCAATGAAAAATAAATATATATTTTCAACTGTATTATTACATACTTTTAAATTTGTTGCTTATCAAAATATTTAATTTGTTATTTTTAATTAAACAAAAAACAAACAAGTAAATTACTGAACGAAATATAGAATTATTAAAAAAAAATCATCGGCTTCTTAATTGTTAAACACCATATTAAAATATTAATTTCAAAACCATCAATAATATTAATTATTTAAAAATCAATACTCACACATTTTTAATATTTTGTATCCATGCAAATTATTCAAAAAAAAAAAAAAAATATATTTTACACTTCCAATTATACCAACTGTAAATAATATTAGCAAATTTGGTTTACAATCGATAAACATTTGAATAACGAACATGCCTATACATTATTGAAATATTAAATAGATATTTTTAAAACATATACGTTATGTTAAATTTATTAATTTTGATAATAGTTTAAATATTTTGTTAGAATTTAGAATATTTTGGGTTGGACAAACATAAACTCGCTTGATATTACCTTTATAGTCTTATGAATATAAATACCAGCTGAAAATAGCGAGTAATAAAAAAAAAATATATAAATTCACCTCTGATAAGTTTTACCAATAGTAGCAAAATAATTATAAATCTGTGTAGAAAAATCAATACGTGTTGTATGGTTAGGTAGGTAACTACTATTTTTAAATCAAAATAATTAAATTATTTACGTCAAATTTACCTACTGTCAACTCAACTAAAAATTCCTTAATATCTAAATAATATTTTCGAGATATTAAGTAAATATTATTATGCTACATAATATGTACATTTTTGTGTTACGAAATTAAATTGCATAGTCCACCCGAGTTGGTCCGTGTAATAAGCGATCGTGCGATATAATAGTAATAATCATAATCATAACATACACAATTAAATTAAATTCGACGCGTTGTTTTCCAACGGTAATATAACATAGTCTAGTGGTGTTATTATACAATCATTTTAGCCATCGTTGTGGAGTAAGTATACTTAACAAAAGTACAAGAGATTAGGTCTTATTACGTTCGTGAGAGTGTCGCTAAAGCATATGAATTTGTGAGCGATAAGAAACACTTTCAGAACACCCCTTATATTGACGACCCGGATACGCGCCGCGCCGCCTCACGCACACTACATAATACACAGAGTAATAGGACAAAAAAATATACACTGCTACTACTCTGGTTCTGTGATTTAAAAATTTAAAATTCAACATGGTTGCAATTTAAAAAAATAAATAAATACAAAAACAGTAAAACAGTAAAATATTATATTGGTATTATTTTATCTAACACGGTAAGATATAATATGTATACGGTTTTATATTTAGAACAGGTTACAATACTGTATAAACTTTAAACTAGCATTTTTTCAAAAATATCAAAGCACCTCACACAATTCGTATACATAACCATTCAAATAGATAACCATTTGTTTAAGTGCATTCATTATAAATATACCTATATGGATTTATAATAAAATATAATAGTTGTAATGTGATTGTTAATATGCCCACGTGTGATTACCAGTTAGCAGAGCCAATGTCACGGACTATATTTTATTTGATATCCCGAAGTTATTTGAACCGTAAGTCTGAACCTTGATCTAATCGCCCTCGCACTCTCTGGTGAACTCGTTCTATTTTTCCCCTTTTATTTTATTCACCCTTTACGTTGTTTGATTTTGAGAGATCGCAATTTTCAATAACGTTCACCAACGGCAGTGAAACAGACGAGAAAGTCTTTAGTGGTATCCATCGTATATATGTTACATTATATATATATACACTATACACACACACAAATAAATTATCAATTTGTCTTTCACCGGTCAACACCTTAAGTAAAACAAGGAATTCTTAAATTCATTTCTATTCGTTTTAATTCTTAAATTTAACATTTTTTCCACGGTTAAAGATTAGTTAGTAGATTAGTAGACATTAGCGTAAGTTAAATATAAATTGTCTTAAGAATTTGAAAACTCCTTGTATTTTTATCACACAGAATATTATCTCACATTTGGCACACATGACACATGTCAACTATATTTTTTTTATTTTTTTTCCTTTATCGTCAAGTTATTTTAATATTGTTCTAATTGAAATTTATAAACATGAATAT